ATTCCATCAAGTCTTGTGCAAAGAATACTCCCTGGAAGCTTTCATCGGCATTCTATTAATCTTTTCCCTACCTTCTTCAGGCGAGGATATTATATTGCTCTGGTTGATTTTAAAAAGCAAGCGCCCACGGCAAAAGCTAGAAGTAATAAAAAAAGAGGTGTTGGAAGCCACAGAAGTGCTGGTAAGTAAAAATATAAAAAAATATTTTCTCCTTTTTCCCTCATTTTTAATGTGTTCAAAAAAAATATTAATCCCTTAATCAAGGCCGGATTAAGGGGGCGGCCATATGGGCCGTGGCCCATGGCGGCAAATTTTGCAATTTTTTTTAACGTAAGTATAAAAATAGTCGGATTTAGAAAAAAAATTACAAACGAGAAAAGGTGACAAAATCTCTCATCTTCTGAGTTCTAATTTTTTCCTCTACCAGTGATACAGGACAGCGTCTTTAATTAGTAAAGTTAATAGAGTAACCAAACACGCAATTTGGCCCGGAACGCGCTGCTTAGAGAGAAATGATGACGAGGACTTGAGATGAACAGGAGAAGTCCTTGTCGCGGCGGTTGGCTCACACACATATTACAACACATATTAGCGCCTACAAGACTGCATGAATACTTCACGCATTGCATCAAACACAGTGCGGTCTGCGCGGCGCCGGCGCGGCGGCGGAAGTTAAAACCATTAAACCACATATTTGTTTGTTTTTTCATAATTTTTTCGTTCCTTTATTATAAATGGAAGCCCTTGACCAAACAGAGATAGGTTTAAGGAACTTCACTTTCGCGCAAAGTTCCGTGAACTTTTGCTAGTATTGTTGACAGGGCTTTCGAAAAAAATGTGTCCAACACGAGTAAACGCGTTTTATGCACCCTTCCCCTTCCGATACGTTCTCTTGATGGTTTTTATTGATGTTCCAAAACAAATGAGAAGGGGGCGGCAAGTAAGTAAATCCGACCCATGATTCGGCGACGGGGTAGGGGGGGGGGGGGGGAATCAAGGGGAATGCAAAATACAGGCGACTCGTGGGCGGCAAGTAGGTGAGTCCGGCCCTGCCCTTGCTTCCTTGATTTAAACATTTTTAATTTTAGAAAAAAGAACAGATTAAAACAGTCAGTTACTCCATACAAACTGGAAACACATTGAAGTACCTAATCTTATTCTCTGTTTTTACAAAATCCGCTTTTATTTGTCTTCGTATTACGTGTTAAATTTGGGAATTTTTCTATTTAAACGACATGAATATTCTTTTTTGTCATACTGTGTTTCGAGGTTTGTCACCCCAATTTCCATGATTTTCGTGGCTAACGACTGGTCAATAATCTCTAAATGACCTCACTCTCTTTAAATTTGTAAACATTGAAAATTGATAATTTTTGAAATTAAAATCAAGTCTTTAATACAGACAGCGCGAAACGTTCATCTGGGGCCGCTTCACGCCAGGGGTCCCAGGCCCCCCCAGTTTTTCCATGATGCATTCAAAATAAGTGTGAATTTTAATTCAATTGATAGAGAGAGGAAACAACTAGAAATGGACGTATTTAAATAAGATAATCGATTATCGATATTTCCCCTTTTGAAGCTATGATAAAGAGTCGATTGTCAAGGTGTTCGTTGCGAGCACCCTGTTTAGCGACCCTTTTCCATAGGTTTAAATGGCAAATCATTCGATACATCACAATGCATCTCAGGGTTCGTATCCAAATGGATGTAATTTCTTTTGATTTAAATGAGTCTAAATAATGATACATTACTCTATATAAAGCTGCTGTTCCCACTCACTCTGCCCCCCCTAGATACAAATTGGCCGAAGCGATTTCCTTTAAAATTGGTACACGCTTAGCTATTGTAATGAGGAGTTGATTAAAATTATTCCCATTCAAATCCACTACCTCGGATGCCCGCGAGAGCGAAAAGTTATTTCTCCATATAGTATTACATTGGAGATACGCGGTTCTTTACGCGCATCGCGCCGAACAGGTTCAATCCTGTTGCGTGACGTCACTGCCTTATAGACGAAATTTAAGGTTTTAGGCGGTATTTTTCGACGAATGTTTGTGGAAATCGGTAAGCGGGGGTATTTTTCTCGGGGGATCTCGAATTTTTGGTCGGATTTTCCAAATCCAAGATGGCGGCCGTGGCTTAAAATGCTAAGTCGGCTCCTGTTTGATCGATTTTTGTGAAACTCGGAGATCTAGGGTACTTTTCGACGGGGAACTCGAATTTTTTGTTAGATTTTCAAAATCCAAGATGGCGGCCGTGGCCTAAAATGCTATATAGCTTCCTGATGTCGATCGATTTTTGTGAAATTCGGTATTAGGGGGTATATTTCGACGGGAAATTAGAATTTAAGGTCCGATTTTCAAAATTCAAAAATCCAAGATGACGAACGTGATCTAAATTGCTATCTTGGCTTCCGATCCATCGATTTTTGTGAAATTCGGTAATAGGAGGTGTATTTCGACGGGAAATTAGAATTTTAGGTCCGATTTTCAAAATTCAAAATCCAAAAATGGCGAATGTGGTGTAAATTGTTATCTCGGCTTCCGATCCATCTATTTTTGTGAAATTCGGTATTAGGAGGTGTATTTCGACGGAAAACTCGCATTTTTGGTCCGATTTTCAACATTTCCAAATCCAAGATGGAAGCCCCGCACGAAAATGCGGTCCGGACTCCTAGAACATCAATTTCTGTAAAACTTGGTGAAAAAGAAGATTAAGACATAGATGTTGTCTCCTCATCAATGTTAAAAACTGTGCGGGGCGGTGGCGGCTCGCGGAGCGAGTCGCAAGTTCGTCGCGAAGCGTAGAACTGGGGTCCAGGGGCACTCCCCGGCTAGACGTGTCAGCTCGCAAAGCGAGCTAATCACGACTAGTTCCTAAAATACAGCCAAAACCTTTAACTCTTAATGTATTCAAAATATAATTATTTGTTTTAATTATGACTGTGTTACAGAGACAGATGAAGACGCGACGTTTAGTTCTGCCAGGTGAGTGACATTTGATAGCTTATGATAGGATTTCTTATTTTAATCTTCCGATTCAGTGCCCCAGAGACAAAAGGTGCCTAACTCCAAGTTCTGGAGGAATTGAGTTAGTGGCTTTTTCGAAATCTTAATTGACGGCTCTGCGTGTATTGGAAAATTTGGTAGCCCCATCTTACGCAGGTTATCAGATCTGGAGTTTCAAAAATTGCGATTTAAATTGGAATCAATGGGATCGACGCGTAGTTTTCAAATGAAGTTAGGTACTCTTTGGATCCGGGGTACTTAATTTTATCAGTAAATTCCGAGTTTAAAAGATCAATAAATCGAATTCCATACCTATCGCACAAAGACAGGCAGCTTGCAATGTATAGAAAAATTTCAACGTACTTCAATTCAACTCAAATGAACAACAATGAAGCCCCTTCAATTAACAGATAGGCAACGCACACAACACTCCGATACAGGTGTAGAATTAATTTTATTCTGTAATCGGATTCTACATATTGCAACGTGTGCCGAATGCTACTTGGGTGCATGCATAGCGCTTTGGAACGGCATTAAATGTATCCTTGTGCTTAACATATCAGGGACGTAGCCAGGATTTTGTTTCGGGGGGGGGGGCGCTCAACTGGGGTCCTTCTACTACGGAGTAGGTTCACTCCCGGAAAATTTTTGAAATTTGCAATCCAATTAGACGCATTTTGAAGCTTTAGTGACACAAACATTCCATCAAGGTCTGCAGAAAAATTACGTTTCATTTTTGAACTTCGGGACACCGTGTTTTGTGGCGGTTAGGCGTCGCAGAGGTCCGAAGAGCGCTGTGAAACCGACTCTTATATGTGTATTTTTGAACTTTCAGCAAAAAATTTTTTCGAATTACATGCGCTCAAATAGATCCTGAAATTTTTTGAAATTTTAACTCTTATTTGGACGCATTTCGAGGCTTCCGTGACGCAGGTTTTCCATCAGTTTCTGCAGAAAAATTACGCCTTTTTTACTTTTAGCACAAAATACTTTCGCATTATAGCATTCAACAAATTCTGGACATTTTTGAAATTCTAACTCTATTTGGACGCATTTCGAGGATTTTCTGACGAAAATTTTAAAAAAATTCTACCAACCTTTTTTTCAGTGATTTTTACGTTTAAGAAAAAAATCATGAAAAAACATTAGCATCAAAATCTATCTTTTACATAATTAAAACTCTAAGGAATTTAAATTGTCTATCCTGAAATCTCATCCTAGAATTTCCCGAAAAACGGCCGATTGCTAAAAATGCACGTGAAAATTTGATGACTAAACACGTATCAGGGTGCACTAACTCTTACCTAGTCCAGCGGCCTGATTATTGAACTTGATAGACCCAGCTATAGACAAAGAGTACGAACAAAAACGAAGGGCTCTCATCGGTGGAAATGGGTGGTTGTTTGTTATTATATATAGAAAAAGGGGGAAATGATGGACCGCAACTAGGGCCTCTCGTGGGTTGCCAGTAGTTAGTGCATTATTTACCTCCATCGTCCATCGCAACCACCCGCTTCCGGCAATAGGATCGCTGCATTTTCCCTGTGTCTCCTTTGTCCATAGCTTTGTCTATTCATCTCAATAATCAGCCCGCAATGGTCCGTTACGACTGCCGCTACGCGGCACTGGGTAGGGCCGCGCAGCAAGCCCCCCCCCCCCCCCCCCCCCCCATTTTCCCTACGGGTGGAAATGAGATTTACTTGAGCGGTGAATCCGATAGGAAAGAACCTTGGCAATGGCCAGCGGGAAGGTACCCGAGAAAGCGCCGGCGGCGGAGCGAGCCGATCGCCTCTAATCGGATGTTCGAGGTGGGTGCCATCGCCATGCCATTTCTCCGCCGCGCGCTGCGCCGCCAGTGAAAGCTGCGCAATGCGTAATGTTACCATTACCCGTAGTGGACGATATATCGGGTCCCCGAGAAAAGGGGGGGGGGGGTGTCATAAAGCGTGGACTATGGCTCGGCGCATCTTCAGCGCTCAGTGGAGTGCGAGGAGTCGCCGGCGAAGCGACCCTACTCAGCCCGCGCGCCAGCCCGCGTCCCGCCAAAGTTCCGACTACGACCACCGCCGATTCCCAGCCCCGAGAACCAAGTCTCCTGTGAGTGAAAATTCTTATTTCTTCGTGCACTGTTCTCTAATTGTGCGAGCAGTGATCCAATGTCTAGGAATTTTGCGGAATATCTAGGGATTTAGGGATTTTTCAGACAATCAGGGATTTGTTTAGATGAAGCAGAAGTGAGTAAAAATCGACTGTTTTACCCTCAATTTGAGCTTCGACTCGGTGGAAAATATTAATTCATCTATATTTTATAGGACTTACTGGCAACACTATTTTCCCTGTAAATAAGCTGCAACATATAACGATTGCGTCACTCAATATACTTGAGTTCAACAAAATAAAATAAAAAATAAAAAAAAACCCTATCATTGTATTGGTCTGTTATGGCACTGCTTTCAGAGAGGGCAAAATTCAAAAGAGCCGATCAGATTTCAATCCTGCAAATCGATACATCAAATGACGTCATAGTTCTACATCAAAAATGGCGATTTTTTGATATATTTGAGCAACTGTGGGTATTTGGGGATTATTAGTGAAATCTGGGGATTTTATATCGGATCACTGTGTACAACGTGAATTTTTGAAAGTGATATGTGTTTTTTTTGGAAGGGGGAGGGGGGTATGGTAAATTGTTACCTACAACTTTTCTAGTTACATTTCCCCGCGCACAGCAACAGGCTGAGTTTCACGGGGCAATAATCTGCGGGGCATTGCTGTGATACCGAAAGTTGCGTCTGTGTAGAGGCTTTTTTAGGTTTTTTCAAGGGGCATTATGTAGAATTTTGGTAAAAAATTGTTTGGAAAATTATCGAAGAAAAAATAGATACCGCAAATAAATAGATAAGAAAATGTAAAAAGTGCTAAGAGATCCTTTTGCGGATTTTTCAAGTGAGTGTTTTGTGAAAAGGCCGATAAAAGTTGGGTGAAAAACTGCGTGCAAATTTTCTGATATTTTAAATTATGTCTTTAAATTATCTATGCGAAACGCAAAGGAAACTGCAAAAAATAGAACGTTCGTGACTAGAAATTACGTTTATTTTTTGTTGAACGTGTGGCGAGGGGAGGAGGAAAAAAGTGGTAAAGTTGGTGGTTGAAAGTGGAAAGGTCGAAGGTTTCACGTCAAGTGAAAGCACAAAAAAAAATTCTCGTATTATTTTTTTCCATAAGTTTCAAACGTCTTTTAAGAGTTTTTTTTCTTTCCGTGAAACTTACAAGTTTTTTTCCGCTTTTTTATGCGTTCAATGCCACTAAGTAAAAATTTGCACGGGAAACTTCGACGCATTCAATATTTTCCAAAGTATTAGGAAGCGTTGAACATCGAAAACTGAAAATTGATATTCTTGACCCCAAATAGCTTTCTTAAATGTATTAAACAATTTCAGTTTTCACCTCGAGGCATCTAACTCTATCACATTTTTGCTGATGTAGGATACTTCGGCTATCAAATAGACAACGTTTAGCAGAAAGGAACCAAGCCACATCAGCTATTGCCATATTTAATGGGGCACTTTAATTTTTTACACGAAAACCAGTGGCGTGGCGTGCTTTGCGATATATGGATTGTTATGCCATTTAAACCTATGGAAAAGGATCGATAAACAGGGTGTTGGCAGCGAACACCTTAATAATACATTCTATACCATCGGTTTAAATGGTAGAACAATCGATACATCGCAATTCACGCCTCGCCACTGGACCCCGTGCATAGCCTACCGCTCTCGCCCACAAACATCGCTTACTTTTCTGGTTCAGCGTTTAAGTCTCCCGGCTGTTTGTTCAGTCGTTCCTAAAATACACAAATTTAAATTTCGAATTTTTCGACCTCCCTCTCCCCCTGTGACGTAGGTCTCTATCCTTTGTCACGTAATAACTAAATGGTGTGACGCTCTCCCCGAACCCCCTCCCCCCTTTAAAACGGTTGTACGTATTTTTGTGCAAATTTTAGTGAATCTTCTGCACGAAGTAAATTCCTCCAAATTTTCAAAGGAATCCGCACAAGCGTTCTCTTTTAAAAAAATGAATTGCTCATAGTTTTTGGCAATAGCTGATGTGGCTTGATTCCTTTCTGCTGAAAACACGCGATCCAAATAACAATGTGGGTCGGCAGCACCCATTTTACTTTAATTCATTTTCTGAAAGTAAGGAGTAAAGTAAGTCTTTAGGAATCGTTTCAACCCTAAATGGCGAAGAGATCCCGTTTTGAAAATGCCGAAAATGAGACACGTTTAAAACGTAAAGGTACGGCAATTAAGACGCGGAATGCCGCCGCGGAATCGTACGCGGCGGACGCAAGGGAAATCTATTACACGCGTTTCAATGGGAGCGGCAACTAAGGAGCGGAGCGACGCCGCGGCGTCCGCGGCGTCACGGCGCTCCGATCTGTCGAGAACAGATCGGAGCGGAATCCCTCGGAGATTCCGCCTCGTCCGCCGAGGTTTTCGATGATTTTTTATGTCTATGTGCCGAAACGTGGATCGCGGTGGAGAAACCAATGGAAAATTGCGGGCCATCGTGACTTATTGGATTCATGAAAGAAAAAAAAATTTTAGCACGATATCAACGCATGGCAATCCTATCTCGTGTCAGGTGCAAATAATACCACACAAATAGGTAAAAGAAACATGACACCTTTTTTCCAGGAAATAAATCTATGAAAACAAAACGGAATAACTATTTTATGGCTTTTTGGCATCTGAACACTTTATTTATACGTTGCTATATATCTATAGAGAAACCTGATCGACCAATCTTCTTTTGAACATCATGGCTGAAAGTAAAAAAATGGCTGTCTTTGCTTGCAATGTTGCAACTTTCTGCTCAAGCTTTATTTATTAATTTGAAACTATTGATAGGGAGTTTATCTTGAACTTTTTGTAAACATTTTATTGCTGTATGTTGGAGTTTTTTGCCAACGTGCGTTAAAAATTGTTTTGCTCATTCAAAAATACTTTTAGAAATTTTACAAAGGGATATTTTGACTGGTATTCTCGTAAAAAATATTAGAGCTTTTGAAACGTGGTGAATGTTCATTGTAGCAAGGCACAACACACCTACACTCGTGAGTTATCATCGGATCCTGATGACGAGACTGCCGACGGACGCGGCGGAATTTTGGAGGCGATTCCGCTGCTTAGTTGCCGGGCACGGCGGAGCGGAAATAAACTCGACGCCTCGCTCGCTCGGGTCGTCCGCCGCGTCAGATTCCGCGGCGGCATTCCGCGTCTTAATTGCCGTACCTTAATCTTTGGCAGGCTTCGGTGACGTAGCCAGAGGTGGATGAGACGGCGTTAGCCGCTTGTCTGAACTCAGCTTTATACTGCCTTGCTAAGGAAAAACGCTGTATGAACCTTCAGGCGTTGCCAAATTTCCTTTAATAAAACACGAATTTACGGGGAAATTTATGAATATTTTTCCTCCGATTTTCCAGATAATTTTGTTCGCAATTTCACCTTGAGTTCCTGAAAATTTCAATGAAAAATATTCATAAAATTCCTCAAAAATAAACATTTTATCGGAAAAAATTTGGCAACTCTCGAATGTTCATGCGGCGTTCATTCCTAGCACGGCAGTATAGGTATCGCATCTTTACGTCAACTTGACTAGCCTGTGTCACACTATCAAAATACTCCATCAAAATGTCAAAGTCAAGTGCTCTGATTGGTCCAAGTCATCGAATAAGCCAATCACAACACCTGACCTTGATATTTTGATGGCTAGTTTTGATAGTGTGACATGTGACACAGGCAATTGCCGACCATTGGTCGGATTTTGGTCCGCTTTTCCTCCCGTAAGAATAATTTTTCGAACTTTCAATGAACTTTTTGGTATTTTCACGAACTATTACTTCAGAAAAATTCCATTACAACCCTGAAAAATTCCTTTCCAATACCCCATTATCTGACGCAATAAATTGGCCCGTTATTTTGAATCTGTGATTCAACTGGAGTATGAATGTTTTCTGACATATTTGTTTTTTACTGTGCAGATGGACAAAACGCACTTGTGAGGAGCTCGCAACGAACTCAACGCACTAACTCATCAACCCAATAGCGTGAAGCCAGCTGGAATACAGCAGGATCCACCTGACACATTCTGCTCGGTGTTTGACCCCCCCCCCCCCCCCCCCATACGACCGTTCAAGTCTCGGGAATCGGAACCGTGGAAATCTGTCAACCTATCATCTGTCCCTCTGTTTTCCTCCACTTCCGATTCGCAGAGGTCACCGGAGGACTCCAGAACCACCACGCAATGCACCAATTTAATTATCTCCATAACAAATTTTTCGTTCTCTTTTTAAAAAAATAGAACTCGTACTCAGCACTTCACAGTTGGTCTGAGTTGCTTTGCCATTGTCTCGTCCGTTTTTCCAATTCAAGAACCACGCAATTTATAAACTTATTTTAATACGTGGAAAATATTCGCTAGCGAGGCTCACCGGATTAGAAGTGTCCTGTTTCATGAAAAAATTCTATGAGTTCTATTCTAATCATTTCATTTTAAGTTCTTTAGGAAGCATGATTAAAACATTAAATTAGCATTAAACAATGAAATACAACTCCAACATAATCTAAAACCTTGTGGACCACTCGAGAGAAACCCAACTTCAGTGAATATCTGCGAGAATATCAACCCTCTGTGACGTCTTTCCGTGTTATCACGAGGTTGAAACTTCGGACGATACTCAAATTATTCCAGAAATTCCAACTCTTTAAAACGTCATCTTCAACACCAAGCTCAAATGTCAGAGGATTCCTTCAGGGCTCGAACTCTAGCAAATTTTGTAGCGTGACACACTCCAGAACCTTGAATTTCTCGTGAATTTGTTACTCTTGAGCACCCTAGAAAAGCATCGTGTCACTTGAAGAACTTTGAATTTCTAGTAAATTCGTTACTCTTGAGCACCCTAGAAAATCATCGTGTCACTTGAAGAACTATGAATTTCTCGTGAATTCGTTACTCTTGAGCACCCTAGAAAATCATCGTGTCACTCGAAGAACTTTGAATTTCTCGAGAATTCGTTACTCTTCAGCACCTTAGAAGATCATCGTGTCACTCGAGGGCTGGAACTGGAATCGAAACTGCGCGACGAAGAGACTCAAAATAAATCAGGAGAAGGACGGTGGGAAATTCTCTGACATGATTGTGTGAGCGCGTGGCCGAAAGTAAGCGATCCGGAGTGGATATCCGATTTGACGTGCGGGGTTAGAGCGTGGCCGGTGGCTCGGGGAGATTACTAGAGCGTAGCGCGGGAACCGGGTGGGGCGGCATGGCTCCAGTGGCGCGGCACCCGCGGGAGCCCCGGGAGCACCCCAGCGGCGTTGGCGGGGGCGGCAGCGGCGTCGGTCGGCGGAGGCGCGACTCGTTGGCCGAGTACTCGCGCGTGGGGCGAGCCATGTCCGAGGCAAGCTCGAGCAGCTCCGGCTCGGAGAACAGCATCCGCGACGAGATCAAAGCGGCGCGCAACTACGTGGACCCGTGGGACCTGGAGAACTACGTCTACCTCAAGCGGCAGTGCAGCGACTCCTCCGAGCCGGTCCTGTCCCTCGGCACCGGCGGCGACCACGATTCCACCCACTCCGAGTTCTACTACGTCTCCAAGGCGCCACCCCCGAGGACCCCGAGACGCCCCGAGTCCCTCGCCGCCCCCGAGGGCGCCCTCTACGAACCGCCCTACGACCTCGCCCTCCGCATGGAGAACCTCGATCTGAGCCACGGGCGCAAGTCCCGCCGACAGTCCACCGTCTACAGCCACGCTTTCCCCTTCCCGGAGAATCACATGGAGCTTCATGATGGTGAGTTACTTTTACTTCTGCAATTCATTGCACAGTTGAACGTATTTCTATCAAACAGAGGACGTATTTCCACGTGGAGGTGAGAAATGAACGTATTTCTATCAAACGGACCTAAGCGCCATAGGGTGAGGAAGGTAGAGGGGGGCTTGGATTGGCGGGTGTTGCGGAACGCGATGCTCGTTCCGTCCTATACTCGCAATGCTTTTCCATGGCGCTTAGGTCCGTTTGACAGAACGCGCTATCCGGCATTCTAAATTCCTCAAAAGGAACTCAAATTGGCGCTTAGTTCCGTTTGATAGAAACACGTCCATAATATGGGGTGTGCTCGTTACTTTAGGGCCTTAAGAATGAATGGGAATTTGAAAGCGCCAGTGACGTCAACTGCAACGATCGAGCCAGGGCACGACGGGGAGATGGGTGGCCGGTGGCGGGACTCTTTAACTCATGAGCCCTGTCCGTAACACACTAGTCACATGCCTACGGCTCTAGAGTTACCGAGCAATTCCTTTTCATTCAATGTAGAATCCTTCTATTCCATTTTTTCAAAACGAACTATATCCACTTTTACATTGTTTCTTATGCAGTTTGCACGAGCATACCCCATCTTTCCACTTCCACATAGTTCCTTTTAGCATGAATACGTCCAATTCTGCCTCGCTAAGGAAGAACGCTGTATCAACATTCGGGAGTTGCCAAATTTCCCCAAATATAATACGTATTTTTGAGAAAAGTCATGCGTATTTTCCCTTGATTGTTCAGATATTTATAAGATTAAATTGCGAACAAAATTGTGCAAAAAGTTCAAAGATAAATATTCACAATTTTCCCAGTAAGTTCGGTTCTTCTTTGGGAAAATCAAAGAAAAATGCGGCAACATCTGAAGGTTCATACGGTGTTTTTCCTTAGCACTGCAGAATTGCACCCAAATTTTTTTATAGCTTCGTCTAAGAATCTTAAAAAGCTAATTTCGAAGTTTTTACAATTTTTTCCTGATATGGGAAATAGTATAAGAATATATTTAAAAAAGAGAAAATGCACCGCCTAGGGACGTCATCTGGCGGCATTTCCCATTTAAGCACATGTATTTCAGCAGAGATCATTTTTTTATAAATCCTCCAATTATTGCTCGATTTATGAACCAAAGATATCATCATGTTCAGTTCACTCAGTGGTTTCCACCTAAACACAATTTTCATCAAATTTCAGACACCTGAAAATTCTCCATTCAGCTAGGCACAAAGGAGCGAGTGGATGGAAGAGGTTGATCGTAATTTGTAAACTTAGAAGCTCATAAATCTTACTTGAAAGCTCATAGCTGTGTCCTTATAAAGCATAGAAGTTTAAACGTGGTCAACTGGTTCTCTCTTATAATTTTCTTCACAATCCACACCTTAAAATTTCAAATGCAGCGAATTACACGTCGAAATTTGCAGTTTCAATAAAAAAAAATTTTGTCGGACTCCTTCCACTGAGCGGCGTCATCAGAGAAGAACAGCATAGTAGTAATGACTGTTCAAAATAAGTTACAATAAAATGCACAAATTTCAAATTGAGAAAACTCCAAATAAAAATCTTATAATACCCGAGGTTGAAACCCTTTTTCATTCTTTTTATCGGAAAAATATCCTCTTGCACTTTTACAAGTTTCTCATCACTTTATTTCGCAAAACATTTCAATAAAATTCTTATATAAATTTCACATAAGACCTTAATTTTTTATGTTGTATCTTCTACTGTTCGTTTTGTATTTAGCATCGAGATGAGTGGTTTTTAAGATTTAAACTTTGGATGTCACTTATTTTTTTTTTCATAACCTTTTTCTTGAACATAAAACTCACATACATTTTACTTAAGATAGAACAAGGCAACCCTCCTTTTCCATTTCGTGAGACTGGCTCTATTTGTCGGTAAATAATGGAGGGAGCCATGCAATTAGTTCGCAAACATTATTAATTGAAAAATATTACTTTTTAAAGCGGAAGGCAAAGTGAGACTGGTTTCAACTCTCATCTCCTCCTCTCTGTAAAGCATGTCTATAGACTGACCGTTGCCCTGTCCTAAGTTGCTTTATTTCATAAATTTTAAACAGCCTCTTAGGTTCATGATAAACGCAACTTTTAAAGGGGGGAGGGGGTTCGGGGAGAGCGTCATACCATTTAGTTATTACGTGACAAAGGATAGAAATCTACGTCACAGGGGAGAAGGAAGTTGAAAAATTCGAAATTTAAATTTGTGTATTTTAGGAACGACTGAACTGTCCCTTGCAAAACAGCCGGGAGACTTAAACGCTGAACCAGAAAAGTAAGCGATGAAAATTTGTGGGCCAGAGCGGTAGACTATGCACGGGGTCCAGTGGCGAGGCGTGAATTGCGATGTATCGATTGTTCTACCATTTAAACCTATGGTAAAGAATCTATTATTAAGGTGTTCGCTGCGAACACCCTGTTTATCGATCCTTTTCCAAAGGTTTAATTGGCATAACAATCCATATACAAAGCTCGTTAAGACGAAAAATGAAGGGACCGAAAATAATTTCGTCATAAGCGGCTTTTCGTCTTAACCGTTCTCCGCTTAAGACGAAATTTTTCGGCATAAGTGGCAACTGCGCGACAAACTTAGGACATTCAGCCTCCAAAATGTGGAAGCAGTTTTAATATCCGGACAGCTTTCAAAATCCACACAAACTAAAATTAAAGATTATTTTAAGTGAATGACTTTTTGAAAGATTATTATCTATCAGTTTTAAATTTTTAAATTTTGTACAATACGAAATCCAAATTTTGAATTTTTTTAAAATACGCAAATCGGTTTATCGTCAACTGACGATTGCATCTCAGTCATCCTGCAAAACAGAGGATTCACCCGATCTACTCTCAACCTACTATTTTTATGTCAAGGTACTTAAAACTATAAGTCTATTTTCCCTAAGAATTGACTCTTTTTTGTCGTTTTTACCAAATTTCAGGGGAAAAAATCGGACATTTTTCTTCGTCTTAACCGGCTTTGGTTACGGGTCAAAATTTCGAAATTTTGTTTTATCCGTATTTTTTTTACATTGACTCTTATGGAAGTGTCGAGGGACCGAAAAAAATTTCGTCTTAAGCGGATTTTTGTCGTAACCGTATTGCGTCTTAACGAGCTTTTACTATGTATCACAAAGCACGCCACGCCACAGGACAGCTAGGGCGGATTTGCGACCGATGAATATCTTTTAAAAGACTGAAAATCAGTCTGGCAGCGCTGCCCAAGATGTGCTTTCATGCTTTGAATAAAGACGCGATATATATGCGTGGCCAGTTACGTGGAGTGCGACAGCGCGCATATTGAGCTGGACTGTAACTTCAGGAGGCTTACGGCGCGGTTGCCCAGAAAAATTCTCAGGCGCACGACGAAAAAAGGTCAATGAGCTGAGAAAAATGTGCACACATGATGCATGCAAAGCTGTGTTTGAATATATGAAGACTTTTCCGACCACGTATTGAATGCTACAATTTGAAAGAATTTTGTGCTAAAGGGGGGGGAGTGTAATTTTTCAGTAGAAATTGATGGAAAATCTGCGTTACCGAAGCTTCGAAATGCATCCGAATACGTATCAAATTTCAAAAATCATCCGGGGGAGACTAACTAGACCCCTCTCTGAACTGGGGTCATTGGATACTCCCAGATCCCCCGATGGTGAGGGGGTTAGGACCCCCCTAAAAAATGACCTAGACACGCCTTTCTTCCCGACGTAGTGGCGTGAAAACTTGTTTTTATGAGTGAAATATTGCGGCGAATTCTTTTGTGACATAATTTGGACATAGTTTCAGAGAGAAACAGCCCGTCGCATATCGGGGAAAAATACTTCAAGAGTAGTTTTGAAAATTTCTCCAGTCGACAGTTCAAAGTCAAAACAAAATATATTTTTAACAAGAAAAAAGTTATTAGGGGTTCTTTTTTTAATCCTTAAAAATATTCTCGATTTGACTCGTAAAGTAAAACGTTTAATTACCCTTCGCAATATCAATTTAAAGCTAGCAAAATAAGAAAAAACCTTCAACATCTTAAAATCTTAGTGGAACCATTAGATATATTCGACTATTTCATGTTGAAAACAAATTTGTAAAGACTAAAGCAGTCTATAAATGTGTATGTAAATTTGTTCAATTGTTAATTTACAAAAAAAAAAATAAAAATAAAAAAAAAATAAAAAAATAAAAATAAAAATCCAAATTAGAAATTAATTAGAAATTAGGGTAAAATCATCTGTCCAAAAATAAAGGGCAAGCTGATATTGTTCAAGTGTTACGAAATATCACAATTCTGTAAACTTTCAGATTTGTCCTACAGTCTCTAGCGATGGAATAAAATGATGGGGTACGGGACCAATAGAGGGGGGGCAATGGGGGATAGATCGGAGGGGAAGAGGGGGAAAGGGGCGGTGCGGAAGGGCGGAGCGGTGGCGCTCGACGTGGATTTCAATCAATTGAATCAAATTGATGAAACGGTCAGCAGTCAGTGACCAGCAGTGCGAAACTTAACATAAGCCACCGCATTGAACTCAATCTCCCCCTCCTCCAGCCCCCAGCCCCCTCCCGCGGGGACTTCCTATCTCATCCAGGTTGCCACTTCGGGCATTATTAACTTAATTAATTACAAATGAGAAAAAAACACTAAGAAGTGGCCCGAATACTGCATGTAACAAGGTGGAGAAATGGTGCTGGGTCCACACCATTTCGCGTTAAGAGCAAAGCCAAGAAGTTCCAAAAATTATAATTAGAGTCAAAAATACTTTTTTTTAAAACTCTAATGAGTACGAGTACACAGCTGGGGGGGGGGAGGAAGAGTTAATTAATTACCTTAATTGACTTTAATGGAGCTCTTGCGTGTGCCAGGTATTTGCGATCGAAGTTCATTTATGTAATTTAATCTGTCGAGAAAAACGATAATGCCACTGGTTTTCCCTGAAGCTAACTCCAAAGCTCGCGTCAGGCTGATGAAAATACTCTCTCGATGAGAAC